CACTTGACAGCTTGAGGTCTCCAAGGAACTGGCTGCTTCAGCAGCTTTCTGGAACTTTCTCTGGGAAAGGTATATTACTGACTTGTTTTCTTTGGCATCAAGATGAGAAAGATAAAGCCTGTCATGTCCAGAGCTGCTTGTGCCGGGCTCAGGGTTGGCTTGTGGGTGAAGGGGCCGGGCATCTGCCTGTCCCTGACCTCAGTTCACCAGCCCCTTTGGGTGTCCTATAGAACTGTGTGCCGAGGCCCACCTGCCAGCCCAGCCGGCTGCTTGCCAGAAGACTGCTCACAACAGAACTGGAGCATCCCTCCTGGTGCTGGGCCTGGAGTTGTGGAAGGAGGGGGAGCCCCGTGAATAATTATGGCAAACCACCACTTATCCAAATAAATGAGTCAGTGCTCCGCAGGCAGTGAGCCCGGCAGCCGCCCCCAGGGCTGCCTGTCTGAGGCCTTGTCTGGGCTCAGCCCAGGACTGACTTTCCATACAAGAAACTGGCCCAAGTGAGCCTGCTTTCCTCTCTCTTTACCAACAGCTAACTTCTTATGCCCCTATTGCATGTGGCTGTCTCTCCTGGCATCAGCCTGGGGTAAAAATGTGGGGAAAGGGAAATGTGGTTTGGGGGCCAGACTCAGATCAGGAAGGAATCCTGAGAGTAGCCTCCTTTGCTCACCCTCTCTTTGGAGTTGTGGCCAGCAGGACACACACACAAACACACACTTGCTTTGATAAACCAGGGTGGGTCCCAGCTGACAGCAGAAGAGTTCATGGGCAAATTCAGGGGTAGCACTTCCTTAGAATATTCTATCAGAGGAACCAGGGAGCTGTTCTTTTTCCTCCCTCTCCTGTGCTATGTGCAGACCCACCAGCATGCCCTGTCAGCTGCAGCTCCCAAATGTCACACATGGAGTCCCTTCTCCTTACCTCCAGCTCCACCACCCTTGTCCACACTTCATTCTGAGAATTAAATGAGATGATCCGTATCAGTCTCTTTGCACACAATATATCAGCAAGTGTCAGCTAGGGTAGCCTTAGTGCTGTTCTCCCTTGCTCTCACCATCCCTTGTGGCCTCACCCTCCTTCCATAGGCCAGAACAGTTTTCTACAGAAGGTCATTGCTGGCTAAGGAACCCCAGTCCTTTGCCTTCTTTGCCTGGACTGCATCATTCCTAGGTCAAGATGTGTGGCTTCCATGCCTCCCCCCCAAAAAAAATGCACTGCATGTCTCTGCACTTGCGTAATGGCCCGGTGGATTCTCCAGTTCAGCGGGTCTATTGCTGTTAGAAATGGAATATCTGGTCCTTCTTTCTTTGCTCCAGGCCAGCAGCACTGCCTCTATGCTCACATTCCTATTCCAAGCCTAGCAGTGAGAGTTGGATGCAGCCGTCCACTCTGCTCAGGTGGAGAGGATGCTCAGAAATAGAAGTGTGAATGCTGCTATCCCAGCTGCATGCCAGAGCTCCAAGACAGGTGTTTTTCTTCACATCTTGGAAGAATATGCCCCATGGGCTAACAGTGTTTCCCTAAGAATTCTCAGATGAATCACATAGTGAATTTCGGTTTTGCAAAACCAAATGTTCAGCTTTGCAAAACCAAGTAAATTACAGGATTCAGTTAGAGCAGAGGAAGCTAGCTCACACCAAATGAGAATGAGAGGAACAGAGTCAGAGTTTGAAATCAGGGGTCTTACTCTCCATTCCTGCCCTGGATGCTGAATGGCTGTGTAACCTTGGGCAAGTCCCCTTCCCTCTCTAGGTCTCTGATTGCTATCTGAAACTAGAAGGCTGATGAGATGAGCTTTAGGTTCTCTCCCTGCATTGACATTCGGTGATGCACTTTCTCTAGAAGAGCTAATCTGCATCCCTTTTGGCTGTTATGGTCTCAGTGATATAACATGTGCCTGTTTCTTTTCTGCCTTATAAGACCAAGTGATGTCACATACTGCACCGAGTCCCAGAGACCTGAACATTGATCACTGATTAGTGATTGAGAGGTAGATCACTAATCTTTGCAGGGCAACAAAACTCAAAACTTCAGCAGATTACCCACCTTCATCCTGTTCTTTCCCAAACCCCATCTCCACGGAGGGACAGCACTGTCTTGTCACAGGCCTACTGGACACAGATGATGTGGGACCCTTCCAGAGCAGGAGAGCATGGAGCAGGGCTGGATCAACCATCCAGGTCCAAAGGATGAAATGGATATTCTCTTGAACTAGCAAAGGAACTTCCCTGAGTAACAGAGACCTCAATACTTTATGTGTTCTCTTAAATTGGCAGGGGAGCTGGGCATGGTGGTACATGCCTGTAAATCACAGCAGCTTGGGAGGCTGAGGCAGGAGGATCGCAAGTTGAAAGCCAGCCGCAGCAAAGGCAAGGCACTAAGCAACTCAGTGAGACCCTGTCTCTAAATAAAATACAAAAAGGGCTGAGGATGTGGCCAGTGTTTGAATGCCCCTGAATTCAATCCCCGGTACACTCTCCACCCCCCAAAAAAAAATTGGCAGGGAAGACATTTTGAGATAGGAATAGTAGACATGCTGGAGGAGATGAGGGCATCAAAACAAAATAGCCTCATGGATGGTGGAATCCTACCCCTAGATGTCCCAGTCCTAGAAGGAGAAGTCTTCTCATAAGGACACCAAGCAGTAGCCCACCACCTCCAAGAGATCATGCAGGTTTAGATCATGAGCCTGGTCACCATGACCAGTGTGGGTACAAGGCCAGAGTTCCTTTCTCCAGTCTAGATTTTGTAAGGAAGAACTGGATAGATTCATTGGCCCCCAGGAGTATGTAGAAAGATGAAGAGTCCTCAGGGATAAGAAATTGAAGTTCTTGTCCCCTGGAGCCACAGGGGCACAGAGAGCCATTCAATTTAGTTTAAAAAAAAAAGTCATGTAACATTACTTGCCCCACAAAATTATAATGGAGTAAAATCCCCGCTTGCTACACACAGGTTTTCAGAGCATCTGAATGGTGAGGCAGCATTGATGTCCAATCACCTTCTGGCACCGACTCTTTCACTAGAGTCTTCATTCCTCTCTCTGGATATCCTCCACCATCCTTGGCCGGCCCCATCTCCCACAAGAGAGACGGGCTGAAGACTGAATCCAAAATCCATAGGTGGAAGCTCTAACCTCCTCTAATCTGACTACATTTGAGGATGGAACCTTCAGGAGATAACTAAGGTTAAATGAGTCCATAAGGGCTGGACCTTAATTAAATAGCATTGGTAACCTTATAAGAAAAGGACCAGTGAGAGACTCTTCCATGTAGCCTATCCTATTTGGTTAGGGCTGTCTGAGCTGTCTAATACAGTATAAAAAAAATATAATGCTTGATCCTCTGCATCAGGCTCACTGAGGGCATTTGTGAAAAATGTAAATTCTTGGCACCAACTCCATATCTACCCAAAAAAAAGAAGAAAAGAAAAATCTCCAGGAATGGGGCTCTAGAATGGGGCCTTTGCATTTTAGGAACCCCTTGGGTGATTCCTGAAGATTGACAGGCACAGCTGCCAATGACATGGCTATCCCTCTGCCACTCCCGTTGCTGGGTCTCCCTGTCCCACTTCTCCAGACTTCCTATCCCAGGGAGTCCAGATACAGCCCCGCCCCTTACAGGAAAGCTGCAGTCCCACCTCAATCCCAGAACCCCAGTGAAATCCTTACATGCATTTTTCTGCTCCGATTGCCAGGAAGAACAGCTAGAGAGATGCAAAATGGTTTTGCTGTGTCCCACTAGTCATTTCTGACTGGCAAGAGGGTCGGGGTTAGGTGCACACTTCTCCTTTGCAACCACAGTGGTTTCTCAATAGACACATTTCCCTCCGTCTGCCAGCTATCTTTCAGCTCCCAAGCCTGCTGTCTTTATGGCCACAAAGCACAGACAGGTTGTTCTGGAGGTACATGGGCTAAGTGCATGAGCCTTCAAAGCCAAACCATAAGCTCTTTGAGGGAGAGGCTATCTGCACGCCCTCCCCTGGAATCCAGCTCCACCACAACTTCTGATACAGAGAAGCCCGGTCCTGGTTGATCATTGCCCCAGTCCTGGGACCAGCAGCTGGCTGTACACATCATCCTATGGTTGGTTTATAGGTGGTCAGGGCACCATTCCTGGCCTGGGAGAGTGGATACCTTAGAAAACTGTCCCCCAAGAGAACAGACCCCCTGACCGGCTCCCCTAACCTGTTTTCAATCTTATTCCAACAATCAAATAGTATCTTTTCACTGCAGAAAACCTAGAAAGCACAGAGGATTCTTTGCTTTATGAAAAGTCCATTTTTGCTACCCTTCTCTGCCAATTTCCATTCCATCCATTCATTCATTCATTCATTCAATCATTCGTTCGATGAATATTTGAGCTAACAGTTCTCTCCCCAGATAAAGTGTTGGGGTAAAAATAAATTTCACAAAGCAATTCTCCCTTGGCATAGAATTGCTAACATCATTCTTGATTTAAGATATGTAGTTCATTTCAATTAAATATATATTATATTGAAATGCTCCTTGGACTCATATTTCATCTTGGATTGAAATATCCATTAACATCCATTCTGTATTTCCTTTGTCCATTTAGATGAAGCTGTATTCCGACTCCTGACTCTCCCGGGCCTGGCGCAGCTCTTAGAGCACACCCTGCCTCCTTCTGCCCGTCTCTGAGTTTTCTTCCTGCCCAGGGCTAAGAGGGTCGAGATCCCAAATGTTTTCTTTTCTTATGAAAACCTCTTCATCCAGCTTGCTCTGAATCCGCAGCCTGTGAGGCATTCTTCTTTGAACAGGCCTTTGTACAATGAAATGCTATTGTCTGAGGATGGTGCCTTTGGTTTACATCGCTGTTGCTGAATTGGGTGTCTTTTTTTTTTTTCCTACCTATCTTTTTCTCTGACTTTGCAATTATAAAAACAGGGATCAATTATGACTCTAAAACAATTGTCATTTAAATGAATATGAATCTATTTCAAAGATAATGTGAGCAGTAGTACATCTCTCTCCCCACCCCCACCCAGGCCTATTGTAATGAGGAACTTGAGATACAAAACAAAACACATCTCTTTTAGTATTCAAATGAACAAGACCCCGAGCTCAGTTTTGTTCACCAAGAAGGATTTTTTCTTCCCAAGTGCCACCTGCTCATGAAAAGGTCAAGAATCCCAATGATTCATTGAACTCTGTCCATCCATGTCCTGGTAATTTAGACCCTAGGGGAAAAACACAATCCAGTTCATCTCAGATGACCCCTATGCAGAATGTCCCCCTTTTATCCCAGCAACTTCCCTGTCCTAGCAGTTTGGAATGGGAAGTGGGTCAATTAATTTCATGCCTACAGAACCCCAAGCCTCCCCTCAAAATATCCATTATACCTTCTTACAGAACAGTGGCCATTCAAGGTCCTGAAGAGTCTCACATGAGTCCCCCATTACAATGGTGCTTCAACTCCTTGGGCCTCAGATAAACTCCAGGATTCAATCCAGAATAACCTTTGTGAGCTCCAGGTTTGTTATCTGTAAACTTTCACTAAAAACAAAATAATAATAATAATAATAATAATAATAATAATAATAATAATAATGTTCCTAGTGGCACCCACTTTCAATCATGGCTCCTGGAGAAGAAGGACCCCACTCACTGAGTGAGCAGAGACCCTCCTTAGGGAGAGGGGCCCTGCTTGGGAAGTTAATCCCAGAGCTTTAGAAAGCTGGGAGGCCAGGGCAGGAGAGGCCATCCCATTGGTGCTCGCCACAGCATGGTGGGTTGGGAACTGCAGCATGAATGTCAGTGTGACCTATTGATTTCTTAGGAAGGGAGAACTCACCCCAACCCAGACCTTCTCCTGCCTCAGAATCCCTAGGGGGGTCCAGGATTTTGCTTTAACAAGCTCTCTTTGAGATCCACAATCTAGTTCACTTCATCTCATCCAACCCCCACCCCCACCTCCATTTTTCATCAAAGAACTCTGAGACCCAGACAGGAGAGAACAGGTGTCTTGAGTTCCTAGTTCAGTGTCATTTAATCTGTCCTTTTAAAACCCCTTCAAGATGCCCTGTGACATTCACCAGCTTACAGCTTTCCCCACATACCAGATTTCTCTCCAGAGTCAGTTCAAGAGGTCTCCTTGCTATGGCTTCCAGACTAACCAGCCCCAACACCCCTCTAGCTCTGCATGACTCTGCTTCCTTTCACTGCAGCTGACAAGACTGTATCCTTCTGTGCTTCTGTCTTTCTGTAATCCTGGCCCCTCTGATCCAGACCCTCTCTCAACGCCCTCAACACAGCCAGAGTCGTGCAAATGGATTGGTCTAGATTCATCCCTGCCTCATAATGGCCGTGGGACTCAGGCAAGTCTCTGCCTGCATTTTGAACTCAACTTTCTCTTCTTTGAAATGGAGGTGACAGCACCTGCCTCCCAGGGCTAGGGTGAGGGAACACAAGGGACATTGCAGGAGACCATGTTGCTAAGGAACCAGCAATCAGGAGGTGGAAAGGGAGAAAGAGAGCTCACCTCTCAGATGGTATTTACAAGGGAAAGGGATGCAGATTCTGGAGGGAGACGAGCCCAAACAATAGACCCTGAAGTGGCAGCAGGATGAGGCTTTCCTGAGTTCCTTGTTGCTGGGACACGGGGCTCCTACCAGGCTTTCTGATCGCCCTGTACTCACACGATAGGTCACATATTCATCACTCAAATCTTTCTACAAGTCTGGGGTCACATCTGCAGCCGGTCTCCAGCACTGTAGGACCTGCACTGACGAATGTGGCCCAGGGGCTGAACTCAGATCCCTTCCTGCCATCACATGCCATTGGCTGTATAGGGAAATCCATGTCACTCACCCTAGCGTTCTCATCTATAAAATGGGATACTAGGTGAACAGTCTGGTGGGATAAAACAAGATGACGCAGGTAAGGTGCAGAGTCCATGTACATGATGTAGGTACTCAATTCATTGCCATTTTTGCTATTATTACCATCTTTCCAACTCTAGGACCATATAACATGAAAGGCGAACATGAGAGGACTTTCCAAACCACTCAAGTCCAAATCCACCCATTTTCCAGCTGTGAGAGCTGCCAAGGGTCCCACAGCAAGCAGGGCAAAGTTGGTAGATGCAGAGTTCTTGGTATGAACTGTGAGCCGATCCTTCTCTGCCCAGTTCTGGGGGCCCTGGAGGCAGACTCCAGCTGCCAGTCTTTCATGACTCTCAGCTACAGACAGCTGTGTCCCTGACATCATGTCCTTCTAGGGACGGCCCACATCCAGTGACCGTTCCCAGCCATCTCTCCTAACACTGGCCAACTCTGACAGGCAGATTCAGCTCCACAGCTGCCTGAGGTTGGCGAGGCCTGTCACCCTGCACTGCCACTGTCCCTCCTTTCTACCGTCGTTGGCCTGAGGGGACTCCCTCATAAGCTTCCTCTAGCTTGATCTTCATCTCTGAGCATCTTCCCAAGAACTGACCTTAGTAGGTGAATGAGGCATCTGCCAGCAGACAGCCAGTTCTCTCTCAGTTCCACTTCCTGCTGTTTCCAGCAAAGGTACAGCATCAACGCCATGGCCACAGCCCACATGGACAGAGAACCCTGATGCTAAGCGATATCAGTTACCAGCCTCAGCATTCTTGACAGGATTTCTGCAGGCCCCTCACGGTCCTCCCCATCTCATTTCCTCTTCTTAAATGGGTCCTCTCACAGCATCCACAGAGAACTCCTTGAATCACGAACCTTCTCTAAGTCACTCCCTGCTTCTTTCCCACATAGGGTGACCTCTCTTTTCTTATAGGATACAACCCCAACTCTGCAGATTTTGCACAGGGCAGTTCAGTTCTCAGGTCCTACCCATTCCCCAGATGCATCCTCTTTCCTCCCTTTTCATTCCACCCCCAAAGCTGTGATTTCATAGAGTGTGTTCTTCCACCCTACATTTCTGCAGGAGCCCCTCCCTCTGCCAGAAATATCCCCCCTCCACCTCTGGAACTTTCCCAGAGTTTATGAATCCCTCCTGCTTCCTGCTTTGAGCCCCACCATTGCTGAGCCATGTTGCTTTGCAATGACAAGCCCTGTGGCTTGTCTTCTTCACCCCTTCTAAAGGGTGGTGACTGCTTCAGTCATCTTGGCGTCTCTGGGGGCCTGGCATAGAGAGAACGCCCTATGCATGAAAGAGCTGCACAGCCCCAAGTTTTTAAATCTTCCTTTGGTTGGGGAGGGGGAGGCTGTGGGGCTGGGAACCTGAAACTCAGTCTGTCTTCCAAAGACTCTCAGACCAGGAGTTGCTGCCTGAATTACAGGGCAGTCTTGATTTGGGCGTCTGACCACAGGCAATGTGTGCCCACAGCCGTCCCCATGGGAACCGTGTCAGGCAAAGCTCCAACTCAGAGTGAGCAAGCTGCCTCTGGCCTGAACTTCCTCCCACCTGCTGTGGCCCTAGAACCCAGCGGGGGCTGATGTGGGGGCACAGGGTTGGCTTGGGGGCACCCACAGCCCCCACCGTAGGAGCCTGTGAGGGGCTGCAGCTGCAGGAACCGGGTGGGCAGGTTGCCATGGAAACCAAACTGCTCGCCTTTCCCTGGTGTTCAGAGTTCTGACAGGGATACCAGACTCCACCAGCACATCCCCATCCCTGAGCTTGTCCCCCACGCTCTCAGCCTGTGTCCAGGGTACATCGTGAACAAAAAGCTGGGATGCAGGAGCTCAAAGGATCAGAGAAGACCAAGAAACTGGCCATGATTCTCTCCCTTCCACCTCATCTGATCTCTGCCACAGTTCCCAGGACCAGGTGCCCCCTGAAAAGAGTGGGCTTACCCAGGGAGCAATAACCAGAGAAGGCAAGAGTCAAATCTGGGACATTTTTGGTGCCAGAAGACTTGGAGCAGGAAATCTTGAGTTCTTGTTCTTGTTCTAATGCTTAACAGCTGGGTGTCGCTAGTGAAGCCTCTCACCTTCTCTAAGCCCAGTTTCCTTACATTTAAAGTACTGAGTATTCCCCAGATACTCACCAGATATCATTAGTCACAGGCAAAGCATCAGCCATAAAGCCATTGTATGTATGAGGTATTGTTATTACAGCAGGTTCCAAATATTATCTGTGTTCAAAAGAATTAGGTAAATACATAAACCCCAAATACGAAGGGATCACTAAAATCAGCAAATTTCTTTATTCCTTCAATAAGTCAGTATCTACCTGGCCAGGCAGGGTGCTACAACAATCTAGAAAGAAGTCATAGCCCCTGCTCTGGAGGAACTCTCAGCCTCCTGCAAGTGTTCTGAATTGACCTACTGTGTGCTTAGCACTGTGAAGCATTCCTAAATAAACACAGTCACACTGTTCTCAAGGAGCACAAATAAAACTTCTTAGGGAGGTGAACATAAGAGATGCACCTACAAAACACAGAAGGAAGGGCATAACTTGGAGAAGACATTAATGTGTGCCTTTATTAGGCACAAGAGACTTCCTGATGCAGCATGAAAAAGATTCATCAAGGAAGCTAACCACTGGTTTGCATCATAACATTCTCTGCTGTTGTAAAGAAATCTTTGCAAAATATGTTGCTTTCTAGAAAACAATTCTTGTCCTTTAATATGCATTTGATGATTCCTTTCACGGCTTATTTTCTAACTCCCTCCCTAGCACAAAAACTCCTTAAGAGTAAAACTTTGTTTTTATTTCTGTATCCTAAGTATTCAGCATAGATACATAGCAGGTTTTCATTAAGCACTAAACAAGTAAATCAGAAAAGCTAGGTACTTAACCAGTGGCTTCAAGTGCTCTATAGCCACAGTGAGATAAGCACTTCATTTTCTTTATTTTCTTCCAAAACTCTTACCTCAATTGGTAGTAAAGTTCTGCCTTGATGCCTTAAGTAGTGCCCAAAAAGTTCAGTTATGGAGACTGTGTGCTGCATTACCACAAGGCTTACAAAGTGACCAGAGTGAGACAGCTTCTACGGATGAGGGCCAGTCACTGATTGATGTGTGCCTGAGTTTGCTTTATTATAAGAAATGTCATCACAAGACATTAATGGTGATCATCTTCAGAATTATTTGTTCAATATGTCTCCCCCTGGGCTGTAAGCTTCTGGCACATAGATGATGCTCAATGAATATGTATTGAGTGAATAAATGAATTCATATGAGGGTATATAACATAAATATCCACTTTGTTTTCAAGGGAAGGGAATGTATTCTCAAGAGGATGAGTGATATGGAATCTAAGGAGTGAAGGATGTCCAGAAATCAGTAAGTGAAGTGGAGAAGAACAAATGAAATATGAGGAAACAAGGAAGAACAACCTAAGCAAAGACTCTGAATTGGAAGAGCGTGGTGGGTTCAAAGGTCCAGAAATAGCCCCGTATCATGTAGTGGGGGTGGGGAGGGCCACCATGGAAATGAAGTCGAGAGATTACAAAGAGCTCATGAACCACTCCTAGGGTTTGGAACTTCATGGTAGCAGCAATGAGCAGACGTTTAGGGCTTCTCAGTTGAAGTGTTTTCTGACCAGATATCTATTTTCACAAAGAACATTCCAGGTGCTTTGTGGGGAATGCATTGGAGTCTTTATTTGCTGTGACAATAAGGAAAAAAACAGCCAGGAGGTCACTGAAGTCATCTGGGAGAGAGAAGATGGTGATCTCATCATGATGGTGGTCAGAGATGAAGAGAAGCTGAAGGAATTGGGGGACTTCTAGGAGTTAGAGTTAAAGGACTTGGAAAATGAAGGATGTCGGGGTGAGGGAGAAGAGAGACTCCTGATTAATCTCTGGATTTCTGGCTTGAGCGTCCCAGTGAATGGTGACACGATGGGATAGGAAATTCTGGACGAGGATCATTTTGAGTGGGGCGCAGGGACCATTTTAAAATTAGCTTGATTTTTAAACATGATTTATTCCGGAATGCTTGTGAGGTGTCCGTGAACGGAGACTCTACTATTAGTGGATATTTGAATCTGGACTGCAGGGAAAAGATTTTTGTTGGAGATAAAGGTTCAGGTGCCTTCTCAAGTAGGAGATGATTGAAGTCATCAGAAAGAAGGAAATCACCAGAAAGAGGCCTAGGACAGAATCTTAAGTAATACCATGATGACTAGTCAGGTAGAGAATGGGGAGCCAGCAGAGGGGGCTCCTCTGGCATTCGAAGCCCAGGGAGGATAGTGCTTCTGCAAAGAGAGTGTGGCCAGTCACGTTGAATGCATGATGGGAGAAGAGAAGAAATTCTTGTGTCCACAGGGGAATAAAATAGTTTCTGGTGATTCTGGTGTCCTCCGGGCTGAGTCCACCATCAAAGCCTCTTCCTTACTTGGATATATCCATTCCCACCTCCCCCAGTTTGCTCTCTCTGGATGGGATTCAAGATCCAGTTCATTTTTCTCTTTAGCTAGAGTTTGGAGACTGGTGAGAGGAACAAGCAGCTAGTGACACATTGAAAAATCCTCTGGAATAATCTTCATCACATGTGTAGTCATCATCATTACCCTCCTGTAGATACACAATCTCAACAGTGGCAGCCTAGACTCTCCAAAATTGGGCCTCTTCCAGCCTCCAACAGGCTCACTGATACCCCCCAAATACCTCCCAGCTCAGATATCATGAGTGCACTGAATGCTTACTTCCTTTGCTCTTTTATCCCTTAAATGAATGGCTTCGGGATAGCTTAACAAGATTGACCATTTAAGATTTGGCCTCTCAGCTGGGCACGATGGCAAATGCCTGTAATCCCAGCAGCTCAGGAGGCTGAGGCAGGAGGACGGTGAGTTCAAAGCCAGCCTCAGCAATTCAGCAAGGCCCTAAGCAACTCAGTGAGATCCTGTCTCTAAATAAAATATTAAAAAGGGCTGGAGATGTAGTTCAGTGGTTAAGTGTCCTTAGGTTTAATCCCTGGTACCAAAAAAAAAAAAAAAAGGTTTGGCCTCTTAGCCAGCAGGGAGGGGATCACTAAGAAGGTAGGTCTGATCAGGGCTACCAGTGACAGTTTACAAACAACAGAGCCTTAGAACCTAAGACAGAACCCTAAATGTCAACATGAATAACTGGTACTGAAAGCAATTCAGTCATTTGTTCCATGAATCAGGACTCACTCACTTTCTCTCTGTTCCACTACCCTTCCTTCTGTTATCCGTTGCCTTAATACTTTTTATTTCTTTTCTTTTTTTCTAACAGGGATTGAATCCAGGGGTGCTTAACCACTGAGCCACATTTTCTATCCTTTTTTTTTCTATTTTATTTTGAGACTGGGACTCTCTAAATTGCTTAGGGCCTCCTTAAACTGCAGAAGCTGGCTTTGAACTCACAATCCTCCTACCCCAGCTTCTTTTGCTGCTGATATTAAAGCCATGCACCACCACTCTTGTCCCTACTATTTTGTGTTTTTTTTAGTTGTAGTTTGGACACAATACCTTTATTCCATCATTTATTTTTATGTGGTGCTAAGGATCGAACCCAGGGCCCTGTGCATGTTAGGCAAGCGCTCTATAGCTGAGCCATAATCCCAACCCCCTACTATTTTTTAAATGCATGCTTTTTTTTTACATTTTTGAAATAATTTAAAATTCACAAAAGGACCACCACCGCCTCCTGCTCCTCTGCCTCATCTGAGAACCAGCCTGAGCAGTCCTGGCCATGGACCTCCCCCAGCACTACAGCATGCCCCAGGATCGGTCCAAGGCCTTGAAGGAGGCCACCAAGGAGGTGTACACCCAGGTAGAGAATGCCAAGTTCATGAGGAACTTCCAGAAGGACCGAGTGACCCGAAATGGCTTTAATCTGGTGATGGCTTCCTGGTATGACCTCTATGTGGCCTTGAAGAGGAGATCAAGTGAAATAGGGACTCTGTCTATGCACTGCAGGGCCTAGAGAAGGACATGGCCTTCTAGTACAGACCGCACTGTCAGGAGGCCACTCCCTGCATGCCAGCAACAGTGCTATGTGGGGCGACTCCAGGAGGTCGGGGGCACACAGACCCTGACCAGCTGGTGATCCATGCCTAAGTATGTTACCTGGGAAACCTGTCCAAGGACCAGATCCTAAAGAAGATTGCTCAGAAGGCACAGGGCCTTCCCAGCTCCCGTAAGGGCCTGGCTTTCTTCACCTTCCCCAACATCGCCCTACCTCCAAGTTCAATCAGCTCTACGGCTCCTGCACGAACCCTTAGATGATGACCCCTGAGGTCAGGCAGAGGGTCATCGAAGAGGCCAAGTCTGCATTCCTGCTCAACATTCTGCTGTTTGAGGAGCTGCTGACCAAGGACCAGAGCCCCTTGCAGGGACCAAAGCTTCCACCACCAACCGTGCCAGCAGCTGGGTGCAAAGCTCCACCCCTGCAGAGATTCCTGGAGGGAAACCCCAGATCAATAGCCTCTTCCAGGCTCTGCTAATCAGAAGGGTCCTTACTGTTCAGCTCTCTGGTGGTCACGGTTGCCATGGGGTTTCATGCCATGAGAATGCAATCATGCTGACCCCCAGGGCAGTGAACTCTGTCCACTGGGACCTTCTTTATGGAGAGGGGCAATCTCTTGGTTGGCTTCCCTTTCTTGGGCCTAGAGGCTTTTGGGATTCTTACCCCGAAAGCTCTCTCTGAGTCCCTCTTACCCTGAAAGCCTTTTCCCCAACAGAAAGCACATCCAGCCAGTGGCTTGAACTTCCAGACTTGGCATCCCCAGTTCCTGCAGCAAAGCTCAGGAGTTATGGCTGGAAGTGACAGCTGCCTTGGCCCTCCCAGTGCCCTGGGTTTGCAGGGTCCTTATTGACAATGGCTACAACGACTTTCCTGTGGGCCGTGAAAATTTTTATATCAATATGCAGAGATGTTGTGCCTTGTGTTTGTCTTATCGTTATTAGAGCTGCTTTTTGTTCACGGTTCAGCTTGAGCTGTGGTATTTTGTTTTGTTCCATGGTTTTTATAACATAGTTGGGGTGTCTTTTGAAGTGTGTGTGGGGGGTGTCTAACTGTGTGTATAATAATAAATGACCTCAGATTAAAAACACACATGCACACACAAAAAGGTTGCAAAAAAGCTTCCTTGTATCCATCAACGATATTATCTTCCACAATCATAGGCAATTGTCAAAACCAGGAAATTGATTTTGGTACAATACTACTAACTTAGGCGCAAACCTTATCTGGAGTACACTAGCTTTTACATGCGTCTTCCTCCTCCTCCTCCTCCTCCTCCTCCTCCTCCTCTTCTCCATCTTCTTCTTTTGGTGTGAAGTTGCATAACATTTTAGCACAACTAAGCTTTTGTGTTTTTGAAATGAAGATATAGTTCAAATTCCATAGAATTTGCCCCTTTTAGGTACACTTTGATGTTTTATAAATGTAGTCACTAAGTAGTCTAACCATTGTCACTGTCTACTTCTAGATGGTCTCACTCTAAAAAGAAAGCTCATGTCCATTAGCAGTCACTCCTCACCCTCCCCTTCCCTGGCAACCACCAATCCGTTCTCTGTCCTTATGAATTTACCTAATTCTGAACCTTTCATATAAATTGAATGGTACAACATGTGCCATTTCTGTCTCCCCACATGCCTTCACTCTCGGTGCCCTCAGCCTCCACTTTACCTCAAAGAGTATTTTTGAGCATTTGTCAGAGATCTGGCACACCAAAGAGCAAAAGTGCTTCCAACCTAATGGAACCACCATAAAAAAAACAGCCAGATTAAAAAATTGGCAGCTTCTCCCAAAACATCAATCTGCGAGTCTATTGAAATGAACCCTGGATGTGGTAATGAGTTACAGGAGGGCAAAGATCACACCATCCCAACCGTGTGGTGAGCCTTGGAGCATCTGCAAGGAAAGAGGTGGTCCATGATTCTTATGACATTTCTAAGTTCACACAGAACTAGAGAACCAGAAGGCCGTGAAGAGCTCCCCTCAACCTGACTTGTTCAGGTCACAGGTAAAGGAAAATGATACCCAGAGAAATGAGGTGGCAATTTCCAATTTGTCCAAAACCCAAAACGGACGGTGTCAGAGCAGACTCTCACTGACATCATACCCAGGGCTATTTCCCCCTAACTAGGCTTCCTCTGAGGGCACCAAAGCCCTGGGTCTAGGCATGGAAAGGGGGAGCAGGCAAAAAAGAGGGGCTTCTAAAAGCAGAGAGCAGCCCTTCTCTAGCTGTGCAGATTCATCCGGGTGATGATGACAGAATCGCCGAGAACATCCCACAGTGAAAGGATTCCCTTCTCCCAGTAACACTTGCTCCCTACAATCTCTCCCTCTGACCAGACCAAGACTTGGAAAGCGGAGATTTAAGATATGGAGCCCTCACCATGCTCTGTAAACACTGTCTTCAATTACAGCACTTGTCAGAGAAAAAAAAAATTTATATGGAGAAAAGTTTAAAAGGAAAGGAAATTTGGATTACCTATAATTCTACCAGATACATACAAACACTCAAATTTTGGGAGCCTTTTCTCCTAGGAAACATTTTATTAGAGAACATTTCAAGTATATTCCAAAGGTAGGGAAAAAAATGGTCTAATAAATCTTCACCTGCTCCAATCTCACAATTTTCTACTCAGAACCAATCTTGTTTCATTTCCACTCCACTCCCCTAAAGATTATTTTGCAACAAATCCCAGATATCACCCTTTCCACTCATAAATATTTCAGAACCATCCTCTTGTCAGGCACCCCAGATGCCATTTCCTGGGTGGGCCACCAACAGAAACACCCTAAAGAAGCTTCCAGAGCTGTTCTGGTGCCTAGGACCTCAGACCTCCATCCTTTCTGTTGAGTGGTACCTTGGAGTGGGGGTGTAGGTTCTCTTTGGCTGTCCCTTCACAAGTGTTGGCCTCTGTAGGGAGAAGCCCAGGCTTTATCAGAGCAGAACTCTGATCCAAAGAAGCTGCTTTGGGTTGATTTGGAGAGTCTGAATAAATAGAGTTGTAATGTCATAAAGCACAGAGCCAGTTTCTGGCACTATCAAGTGACATGGAGCAACAACCATTAGTCCAATCAGAAAGTGAATCAAGCAGCAGCACCGGAGTCGGTTTGGGTTGGAATCACCTCCCCACCTCCTTTTGGTCCCATGGCACTGTGGACAAGTTATTTTTTTTTTTTTTTTTGCTCTTTAAAGAAATCTCATATGGTGTTTGAGTCTTCTTTTTTTTTTATTTTGTAATTTCATTTCAAGCTACTGCTTTATAAGACCTGTTTTATTACTGATATAGGCAAAAAGAATATGAAAATTACTCCCAATTTCTTTTTCAATTAAATTCTTCCAAGACACAAAAAAAATAAAATTTTAGGTTTCAATTGAATAAGAGAAACAAAAACATTTCAGTAAAGGTAACTGTTAATTCTGGAACAGGGGCCTAGAGACAAGAAAGGCACCAGTGATTGAGGGCAGCTCGGCTCTCTGGGGGTCAACAGTAGGAGACAGCCTGCCCTGTTACCAAGACAGCCTCATCCAGGCTGGGAGTCCATCCTGGATGCTGGGAGCATCGTTATCTAAGTGCAGCTTCTTTGCTTCCTTAGGTTTCAGCATGTCCCATGAGATCATTTAAAATCACATTTGCTACTTTACCATCTAATCACACATAAGCCTCTCCCCACACTCCCCCGCCCTGCTTCCATCCAAAGAGTGCACTTTCTGGAGCACCAGCAACCAGGGTGGAACTCGTGACGGGAAATGGGAATGGCACCCAAGAAGGCATGCTTCCTTGTAGATTCCTGAGTGACAGCGAGGTTCCATCAAACAAGGCAAACTACCTTCCTTGAGGAGGACGAACAAGTGTAAGTCTTTGCAAATCTGGCGGGGGGGGGAGGGTCTCAGACTTGCTTGCCCTACTAGAGTCACCCCCTGGCCTTTGGACTGGAGAGCAGACATCAGATGGAGTTTCTTCTTGTCTGGTTTGAATGTTAAGCTGAGCGTATGTTCCACGAGCTCATGGTTTCCAGAGGAGGCAGTCTGGGATAGAAGAGAGGAACACTTATCTAGAAGAAAGCAAGACTGAGAAGCAAAGGTTTGGTTGTGGGGCTCAGGGGCCAGACCAGGGCTGACAGTGTAAAGATATATGCTTGGGGTATTGGGAGAATTGTAGATTATGTTCATGAACCAAAAATAAAACATGTTTTGTGGGCTTTTTAGATTAATGGCCTTCACAAAACATCCATGGCTGTTTAAAAAATACTATGTAAAGATTAATCTATTTGTACAGAAGATTCCCACGACTGCTTCTTTTCCTCTGAAGGATAAGGGGGAAAAATTAAAGTTAAATCTCAAAACTTTTCATTTCTACCTGCCCCCTCTATGTCAAGTGTATGCTTTTCATAGAGCCACATCGATAGAGAAAGCTCTTTTATTAATAGGTGTGGTTTCAGAAATTGTTACTAAAACTGTGATAACAGAGGCCAAATATCCTGGGTGTATTGATGAGGTTGTTAAAACTAAATAAAAATAGACATAGGCATAGAAAACAGAGAGTCCTAGACTTTGCTACATGATTTTTGCCTTGAACTGAAGAAAAAAAATATTCTTGATGGAAAGGTCTGGGTAAGGGTGCAACGAGTGATTTCTACTCTTGATAGAAATAAGCCGGAGAACTTTTTAGAAACACCTGGACATTGCTCTAGGCCTACTGAATCTGAATGTCTAGGCTTTCTTCTGAAAGCCAAGAACATGTATTTTTCAATGCTCTGCAGAGAAGTCTGATAGACAACACTAGAGGAATTCCTGTTTTTAAGATATTGTAATGAAAAAGACAGACCAGGTGGCCCAGGGGGTTTTCCATCACATTCAGAGAAGTGACAACAGCTACGAACAAAGACACTTATACTTTGTTCTTAGCCCTACATCTTCAATCTAGAAGAAGAATAGCTCATTCAGGCATTTCTGTGGATCTGGATTTATTTGGCTTTTTTTTTCCCCATAGCTCTAGTGCACTTAATGTAAATTTCATTCTTGCTCCTGACTTTGCTTTTTTTGAGATTACCTGATTGGATTGGCGGCAGAGAAAGAGAAACGTCCGCTATGATTTTTAAAATGTAGTTTGGGTAAGCTTTACTGGACTTGCAAAATGAAGCAGGTAGAAAGAACCACCCATACATATTTTGAGTAACAGAAGCCAAAGGTTGGGCTTTCTAGCCACATGGTGTGGGAGGAAGGTTGAAATGACACAGAGAAATGAATTGCTTTTAGACTGATGGAAAAATTTGTTTTGAAATGGCATGAAGTTGGTTTAAAATGTTAGGAAGATTTTAGAGTGGTCTTAAAAAGTAATTTCCCAGTCCTCTGTCCATTCACTTAGCCGTCCAATAATGGTAATAATAATAATGATAAACAAGCATATAAACGGAAACAGCATATTTTCCCCCAGGCTTATGAAAGAGCCTATATCTACAAGGATGATTTTTGAGATCATGAGAAGGAAATGGAAAAGAAACCTGAGAATGGTCTGTAATGGTAAATGGTGACAAAGAGTTTTCCACAAACAAATAATACCAAGGAAGTGCTATTCCAGGAGGAGAAAAATGGTAATCTCTGACTCTGAGCACATGCGGTCACGGATTCCCTTGTGTCAGAGCCCAGTCAAGTCAGGAGGGCTCAGCTTTAGGCCTCAAGCTCCCTTGTGTCTCCTCCTCTCTCAGAAAACAGACTGACTTGAGGATCTTCAGATAGGAAGCATTAATTTGACCCTGAAGTCCATAACTGAGGTCAGGAGAGAAACACTATCTTCTCTGATTACTGAGTCCTTTCTCACTTATTCTGCATTCACGGAGTTCACCCTTTCTTCACCCCCATCTTACCTGTCTTTCAAGTCCCAGGTGGACCTCATTCTCCCACAAGGCATAGTGCACTCCCTCCCTTTCTCTGATTCCACCTCCCCTCTTCATTTATGTTTATTTGTCTCAAATTGGGAAGCTGTGTGTATATATATATATATATTTTTTTTTTCTCTTCCACCAGAGTGAGGTTATCAGGGGCAGGATATCAGTCTCTCTGGTTTTTATACCAACATCAAAACCTTGTACACATTAGCAGCTCAGTGAGTACTTACTGAATAAAAATCACGGTTTGGTGTCTTGGACCATATGGGACAGCACCTTCTCTCACCCTCCCCACTCAAGCAAATATGTTCTCTCCCTTGCACGCCAGCATCAATTCTGAGAGGCTTAGAAGAACTATTTGTCCCCTGGGAGGATGTCATTCTGGTCCATCTTGCTCATTAGATCTCATGGTCACTCTTCTTACCTTGCGATTCACTTGTGCTTCTCTCTGGTTCTTCAAAGATAACCAGGGCCATGTTTTGTGAACCTGACTGTAAGAGCAGAAAGGGGTCAGAGTGACCATGGCCTGGTATTCAACACAAGGATTAAGAGCACGGGCCTTGTGCACTGAGCCAAGGCTCGGTTAGGGTCCTAGCTTTGCTATTATTAGCACCTTAGGCATGGTACTCTGCTTCTTTTTGTTTCTTCAGTTGTGAAATGGGCATAATAATATCTGTGTCACAAGACTACTCTAAAGATTAAACAGGTTGATGTATGTTAAGAGCTCTTGGCCTCCTATTAGCTCCTATTCCTATTATATTTAGTCTGATGCCCTCATTTTATACATACAGAAGTTGAAACCTGAAGTTTCAGTTCCAGTGACTTATTCCAGGTCACAGGCACCCAGTTTCCTGCCCACAGCATGCCCCTGAAATGGTTTGGCACTGCCTGGCCCCGATCCTTTGTTCACACTCTGTAGGGAGGAACCAAGGCTTTGGAAGCCCAGTATAAGTGCATCAGCAGGTATGAGCTTGACCTTGCGTCAGACACGGTCCTCAGAGAGAGAGAGAGTGGAATAAGCTCTATATTATTATTACTGTTGTTGTTGTTGTTGTTATTTCATGGGACTCACAGGATTGACCAGCAGCACAAATCAGATTATGCTTCCGGGAAAGGGGAAGTGAGGGGCCTTGAATAGTAGGCCAAATTTAGATAGATAGAAAATAGTGGGGGAGGTTACTGTGCTCAGGGTTCAATGACAAGCAAAGAACCAGAAACACAGATATAGTGCTGACTGATGACAGGTCAGAATAATAGTTACCTCCAGAGGGAGAAGGGTAGCCACTGGGAAGGGACACAGGGACATCTTCTCAGGCGCAGGAAATGTTCTCTGTCTTGGTCATGATGGTGGAAACACAGATGTTTGCATATGTTCAAAAAAGCATGAACTTGTAAATTTAGGATTAGTAAACTTTATTACTACACCCCAAGAGTAAGCAGTATTAGTATTATTATTTTTTTCATTACTGATTGGCAGAAGTTAAAAAAATAATAATAACTTAGATCTCCAGTAGCTAACTTAGCTTAGCTAACTTCAACCTTAGCTAAGACAGCCTCATGACTTAAGTACCTTACCTGTGGAAAAGGGTTGATGGGGGGGGGCTGTTTCATATGATCGTATGAGGATTCAATGAGCCAATGTGCATGAGATTCCAGTGCTGTACCCAGTGTACTAACAAAGATGTAAAGCAACCATTATTTTTGTTTGATTTCTAAATTAATAAAGCTAAGATTTAATTTTTTTTAAAAAAGTGCTAGGTGTTGGGAGCAGTAGTGCACACCTGTAAATCCCAGTGGCTCAGTAGGCTGAGGCAGGAGGATGGCTAGTTCAAAGCCAGCCTCAGCAAAATCGAGGTGCTAAGCAACTCTGTGAGACCATGTCTCTAAATAAAGTACAAAAAGGGCTGCAGGATGTGGCTCTGTGGTCTAGTGCCCCTGAATTCAATCCCCAGTACCCACCCACCCATCCCAAAAAAGTGCTAGCTGGATCCCTGTCTGATCATAGGCCAATCATAGGTCAGCAGCATGCAAAAGGTATCAGCTGATTCTTGACTCATTGCCCCTCTGTAAGCCAAGTGAGGAACAAAATGTCCCCTCAAAGGACTTAGAACATCTCCATCAGACGACTGGCTCAGTGTCTGTCTGAGGGCATTCCACTGGATCTCCTGTTCCAATCTATTCCAGTCCTGCTTGTGTGGGAAACCAGTATGTGGGTAAGAGAAAGGGAATCCTAAGGAAATGGATTATGCTGGTGCTGGGGTATAATAAACACTGGAACATCTGGATTGATGGTGCAGCTCTGACTGGAACCCTTGAGCAAGATTCTTTACCTCTCTGTGTCTCACATTCTTCCCCTGTTCATTGGGGATGATTGTATTCCATGGAGGTTGCATGGTTTGATGTGAAATCAAATAGATTGAGTTAGCACTTTAAGATCCTCTTCTTAATGATATTACCTTGGAGAATAATAATATCAATAACACAATCAACATAAATGATTTCTATGTTCTAAGCCATATATTTACATGCACTCATTTAATTTTCATGACTCCCTCATACTACTATTATTATGACTATTTCACAAGTGAGAAAACTGAGGCCCAAAGAAGTTAACTATCTGTTCCATAATCCTAGAGCTAGTAATTTATAGAGTAGGTATTTAAACCCAGATAGTCTAGATCCAGAATCCAAGAACCTAACCATTGCACCATGATGCCTCTCTAAACCAATGAAAAGATTTTTTCTGCACTGGGGGAGAAATGTGATGAAAATGTGTTTTTTAAAATGTGTTTAAAACAAATAGAGGATGCAAACATTTGATTCAATCTAATGCATTTTGAAAAATCTGAAACACTAAGCATATGCTACAAAGTTTTTTAGAATGTGACGATCTCACGGAGACCCCATTTTTACTTAATGACAATATTTCATGCAAATATTCAACAAACCCACATGCAGCATCTGCT